GGATGAGGCGGAAGCCAGGACAACGCGCCGCCGAGCGGAAGAGCCTCGCTCCATCGGCCGCGGGCGAACAACCCCGCGCCCTCTCCCTCACCCACGCCCTCGCCCGGGCGCAACGAACAACGAACAACGACATGCGAGTCGCCTTAAGAAATTGCTCCTTCGCGCGATTCATTGTCCCACGAAATTTGTACGTAAAAAATATGTGAATTCAAGCCTCTATACAAGACGCCTCTTGACTCTCAGAAACATTTTAGTTGTGATTGAATTTTATGATATCTTATTCATATGAGTATTATTCAGTAATTATTTCGTAATAACTGAAGAAAAAAGAAACGTATCCTAGACATTGATGATCTACAAGACGGACATCGAAACAAATATTTTTCTACTTATGTCAAGACTAGCATTTATTGAAAAATTAATTGTATTAATAAAAGTATAAATATTTGCAATTTACAATTAAAATTTATTTAATAAATGCAGATGTCAGGAATTATCTTTCAGTGAGAGGTACTGTTGCAGTTTCAGTCTTCGGAATCCCTTGCATTGTTTCAGAATGTAACAAAAAGTACTTTCTCGTACAATCCAAAGATGTAGAAGAAACGTTCGGAAAGTACACAATTGATGGTTATGAAAAATTTGTTGAGTTTCTAATAGTTTTCTGAAATTGTCTATATTTGTGATAGGCTAAAAGCGAAAACAAAATGAGATTTTGTTGATTTGTAATTAAGAATCATTAAAAATATTTAATTATATATGTTGAAGATGATAAAAAAACTACGTTAGTCACAGGAAAGCAGCTGAAACAGTTAAAATTTCTAAAAACCAATAAGCGGGACATCGGTATATGTCGACTACAGCTGATCCCCACGGCGGCGACGGTTAGAGGGTATGATACCTTACTACGTGAGGTTTGTTACTTGAACTGAATTGTTGAGCTTTGCAGCTCAGAAAAGCGAAATCATTTCCAATCGTATGCATTGTCACTCTAACTAAATGTTCAAGTCGGACGTTTAGTGTATTTTGATTAAATTACAATGAAATATTTTTTTTCAAACGCTCTAAAAATACTGAAAAGATGTATACTCATCGATATAAATTGTTAATCTAAAACTAGATATCATAGACATCCTATTTTAAAAAAATTACAATCACAGTGATGTGAATACAAAATAAGTAAACAAATATAAAAACATACAAACAAAATTTGAAAATGTCAGTATTTAGCAATTGTCCCAGGATATTCAGATTTGAGTTATTCAAAGAAAGTAGTCCTCATTCTGTATTATTAATAAATCTTGGTCATCAACAAGAAGAGTTCATTGTTTAAAGTTGTTCTATTTGCGAATATACATGTCACAAAACCCTTTGATAAAAAAAGCCACGAGAAAGTTTCTCATATTTCACAACAAAGCAGAAGAAACAATAATCCTCTCATATCCACTATCTGAGAAACTTTTAGAAACATGTACTGCTACCAGCAAATATAATTCTCATTTATTACTTCTAATGAAACACGCCGACGCATACAAAGTGGGAACGCACCCGCGCGCGGAATTTCTGATCTCGCTATGTCCTGATCTTCTCTCCCAATGCGCCGTCGTAAATGCCGGCCTCGTTCTCGAAAGGCCCGAGAGCATTTCACATGCGCGACCACGCGTGCCGCCATCTTAAGGAGACGTCCGCAATCAAAACGTTACAACCAACAAGCACGCGAGACGAGAGCGGACCGGTCCCCGAAACAACAACAGCCCAGCCGCCCTCCTCTCACAGTGCCGACCATCGCCTTTTCGTTTCCCTTTCGCCAGCAACAACGACCAACAAGCCCCCGAGGTCGGCGTAGGCGTCACACCGCGTTGCTGCCGAAGACAATTACGGAGGGCCAAGTTAAAAACCGGGCACGGGACGAGTTCATTTTAAAGTTGGGCAGTGGGTCGTCGTCGCTGCGAACGAACGCGTTGGTGGCGGTAGCAATGATGGCAGTGGGGCGGTAGTGGTGAGGGACAGTGGCAGCGGAGACGTTGGTTTGATTCACCGCTTAATGTTACCGGGGACGTCAACTTCCAAGGTCATTCGTATCAACTGTAGTACTTGATTTTTGTAGCGAGAGGTGGCGGTTGCAAGGTGATGAACAATGTGCTTTGTCATTTCCAGAAGTTAAGTAGCTAAGGTCAAAATATTTGCCACTGTCCGGACTCGAAACCTACGAGATACTGGAGTGTGACGGATTGAATTGCCACACTCTTAAAACCAAGTAAGTCAAAATTATCAATTTTTGTTTCTTAATTTGATTTTTTAATTTTAGCATATGACCGAACGTTCGGTGTTGAGATCAAGGTATTAAACGATCTCCTTGTGATGTAAATAGAGCTGCGATTTTCCTGTTGGGTGTCGAAACCGAATATGATACTGACTTATTTAATTCAACAACTTCCCCTTTTCAGTCCATGTATAAAAGCAGAGTGTAGAGCTGTTGGCTGTACCTATTAATAACATAATACCACTACGCTGGCACATCTGGTTTCATTATTGCGTTGGCGGTACAAACAAGAGAATAAAATGCCCTCATTTAAATGGAACAGCCAAGCTTGTTGCCGCAGCGGAGCTAGCTGCACACAATTTTGTTTCAAGTAAGTTCCAATTTTTTTAGTAAGTACGACGAAACTGTAGAAGCTATAGTTTTTGATATCATTCAACACCAGCTCCTTCCACATACCCAAATACAACAGATGTTATATTTGCGACACATTTATGTTCCCTGTTCTAGCATTCGTGACTTAAAAACCAAACTCTCAACTGTTTATATGAGTTTATCAAAACGATTTGAGAAAGTAAGGTGCTTATGAAGTGGATTCCTTCATTTTTGACTATATATCAAAGAAATGTAGGTGAATACATTTTATATCAGTAGGAATATGCAATAGCTGCAGTATTTCGCATTCCCCACAACCAGAATAAGTCTTTTCACATAAAATATCCATTGTCATAATAATAGTAGAAGAGAGATAATCAACTTTTTTTGTTTTGCGTACGTGGTAGCGGTGGTGGCGGTGGGTTCCCGGAATAGCCGCCGCCGCCGCTCGCACTTTCGGGTAGTGCGCGAGTGCGCGCGCGTCGAACTTCGAAGCGACGATCCCAGCAGGTGGGGGGGGTGTAACACGACGACAGTCCTTTGTGCCGCGCGTGGGCGTCACCGCGCCCGCTAAAGGACGCCTCTCTGAGGAGGAGGGGCGCGATATGCTTCGGCGGCGGAGGAAGAGCAGCCGAGCAGCCACAGCACGGCGATGCGGGAGGGGAAGAGGGCGAGGAGAAGTCTACACGTGCGCTCATGAATCCGAGCCGCGGTTAGGAATTTAGCTCGACGAAGACGGAGTGAAGCTGATAAAGTGGAGTGTTATGTGTTAGAGTGATTCAGAAGAAAAATAGTACTAGAAGAAAAAGACAATGGAATTGAAAGGAGAATGCCTTGTGACTGTAGAAGAGAAGCGTCAACATCAAATTCCCGATATATCAATGCTTCTTCAAAAATCTCGTCAAAGGAAAAGGCAGACGCAGAGGCCAACGCACGCTTGTAAAACAGAGAAAGCAACACTCATTACAAAGTTAAGTTTGTTCCAGAGTGCCAGGCGGAGGCACGGCAGGACAAATTAAAACGTCAGTCTAGCTTTTTGTTCCATTCCTCGTTGTCACATTTGTCACGTAGCGAAGAAGGTCATGAACTGGGTTTTGCATGGAATGTCGCACACGATAAGGCGCGGGAAATTGCGAACATGACTTCTTCATATATTTTCACACGCCTCGTCTCATTCACAATGCCATAATTATTGAACTGCAGCAATATTTTTCAAGTCTAGGGAAGTTAAGTGTATGGAATATATATGTAATATATATGGCATATATATGTAATAAACTCTGAATTTTCTTTTTCTGGTTGCAAATATCAGATTAAGTACTAAAATATTTTGAATTGGCAAATATTTGCATTCGACCTGAGTGGTAACAGAAGCTTTAATACATTTTGAGAGTACAATTCAATGACTTGCCATACTTTCAGGCACTGAAGTTCATCGTAAGTCCTAAAAAAACAAACAAAAACAAAATACAATTCTTTCTTGATGTATAAATGTAGTAAATGAGCGGTAGTTATTCGTGTGTCTTTATTTGTCATTCCATATCTGTATTGGACTGTTTTTGTAATGCTACTTTAACTCATTCAGAAACATTCTAAAACAATAAGGCAAAACCCTAAATCAAGACTGATTTTAATAAAAAAAAATTAAATGTACAATCTTGTAGGATTACACTAATCAACCAAGAATTATTCATTGCACTCGTAATATCTTTTTTGGAATTCATTTTCAAGGGAAATACAGTATATACGACTCTTATACAGTGTTTTATACAAATCCAAGAACAATTTTATCTTTCATTTATTTCAAAACCACAGTTTCACACTTTATGGAGACCATTTCGTTAACTGAGTAGAGAGTATTAGATTTTTATTTACTTAGCTATTGATGCACTTACCTTAAACTAATAACAATCAATAAACACTT